CAAAGACGGCCCCACGACCCGCGACCAGAGCACGGGCGCCGGACACCCCGGGGGCAAAAGACCAGCCACCCGCCCGACAGCGGCCCGCACGAGCACGCCCCTGGGGAGGAGGGGCGTGGGGAAGAGGGGCGTGGGAAGAGGGGCGTGGGAAGAGGGGCGTGGGGAGGAGGGGCGTGGGGAGGAGGGCCGTGGGAAGAGGGTCGGGTGGTCTTGAGGCGTCGCGCCCCGCCGGATGACCGCAGGCTGGCAGGGGGCGGAGAGAGGAGGCGTCCCGGAGGAGTGTCTCGGAAGTGTCTCGGAAGTGTCTCGGAAGTGTCTCGGAAGTGTCTCGGAAGTGTCTCGGAAGTGTCGCCGGCCTCGACAACGAGTCGCTCCGACGCCTCGCGCTGCGCTGCGCGGATCCTCTCCGCCTCCGCACGGCCCTCCACCTCCAGCTGCCGGCGCGTCTCTTCGAGCGCTGCGTCCCGCTCCTGTGGTCCACGGAGGAGAGGGGAAAGGCTTGCGGCATGAGAGGGGAGGGGTTGAAGCCGCGAGGGTGGCGGTGAGGACAGGCGGCTCCCAGCGTCCACAGAACGCGGGTCTCGGGAGGTGTCTCTTCCGGAAGTGTCTCGGAAGCGTCCTCCGCCTGCTCCAACTCGCTCTCGACAGCGGCGGCCATCTCGACGAGCCGCTCGCGCGCCTGGCCGCGGGCCAGGACGCGTCTCGGACGTGTCTCGGGCGTCTCCCTCCCATCTCGACCAGCCCACTCGCCTCCCTCGCCCGAGCCACGACCTCTGCCGGCTCCGCAACACCTGCCGCCGCCGCCACTGCCGGCTCCACAACGCCAGATGCCGTGCCGGACGCCTCGGCCGCAGCCGCGCCCGTCAGCGGTCCGGTGGTCGGCGCACCGGGTTCCGATCTCCCCCGCGCGCCGGGCGCCGACCTCGCGAGCGGCGACGGCGAGCTGCTGCCCGCGGCGAGGACGGAGGAGGCGAGGCCAGAGGAGCCGAGGCCAGAGGAGGCGAGACCCGGGGAGAGAGGTGAGGGCGGGCCTGAGGTGGAGCCAATCGGGGCCAGCGCGGGCCGCGCCGCGGAACCGAGCGCGCTCAGCCCGATGGGCCCGCCAGGAGGCTGCCGGCCCAGCCCTGGCGAGCTGGGCGCCGCTGCCGGACGGCCATTCCCCTCAGCAGAGCGGCGCAGCTTCTTGGCCTTCTCCTCCTCGTACGTCTTGCGGTAGTAGTCGTCGCACGGGTGGTCCCAGACGGACTCGCCGGTCGCAAAGTTGAAGTAGTATATCTCGCCGCCGTCCTGCGTCTTGCACGGCTTCCAGTGCTCTGGCAGCGGCGCCTTGAGCCCCTCGCTCGCGATCCAGAGCAGGTCGTCGTCCTCCGGCCGCCTCATGCCGAGCCAGGTGGCGTACTCATCGATCTCGTCTGGCGTCGGGTCGTAGTCCTCGTCGATGTCCTCCTCGAGGATGATGGAGTCGTGGGCGGCCATTGCCACACACCGGCCCCTCCCTCACCGGCCCGACAAGAAAAAGAATCTCCAGACTAAGAATTCGCGCATGCCGCTAATACACGTGCCGCCGGTGTGTATCCTATGCGAGAGAGATCCCCTGTGCCCTGTGCCCAGCCCTCTCCGCGCGGCGATGCGCCCTCCCTCGCCCGGCTGCTGCCCGCCAAAAAAGAATTCAAATCGGCAGTGTCGAGTCAGTCTAGTGAGTCTACTAGACTCTTGCCCAGCACTAGGCACTGGATTCAAACAGCGCCTGAACGCATGGCGTTCAGGCGGCACTTCTCTCGCGTCGGCTCCGCCGAGCGCTGCACAGAGACCATCTTCACTGACCACCAACGACAGGTGTAGGAGCCAAGAAGGGGCGCTTTGTGGGCCGGGCGCCACAAAGGCCGTTACATAGTCTTTTCGAGACCTCGCTGGAGTCCATCTCTGCAAGCTGTGCTCGCGCAATATGCTCACAACACTACCGAGTGTTTGTCTGAGTGTGAGAGCGCCCGTGCGTGTGACGCGTCGCACGCAGGGTTCCAGAGAGAGAGAGACCTTCTCTCTTGGGTTCCAGGGAAGAAGAATCAAGAACAGCAAAATTAAAAAGTCATAAAATACAAACCTCTCGCAAAGCACACTGGCATAACAAAGGGCGCGGCGAAAAGAATCTTTAAAATACGAGCCTCACAGCAAGGCGAAAAGAAAGAATTCTCTGTTGTTCACCTCGTTTTCCTCAACGCAGTCGGAGAAGGGGCAACTCCGTGCACTGACGGTCCGTCAGACACGCCTCGATAAGAAACATGATGCCGGTCCCCGCACCCCTGCACCGC